ATCGCCCTCTTTTACGCATCGCCCTCTTTTACGCATCGCCCTCTTTTACGCATCGCCCTCTTTTACGCATCGCCCTCTTTTACGCATCGCCCTCTTTTACGCATCGCCCTCTTTTACGCATCGCCCTCTTTTACGCATCGCCCTCTTTTACGCATCGCCCTCTTTTACGCATCGCCCTCTTTTACGCATCGCCCTCTTTTACGCATCGCCCTCTTTTACGCATCGCCCTCTTTTACGCATCGCCCTCTTTTACGCATCGCCCTCTTTTACGCATCGCCCTCTTTTACGCATCGCCCTCTTTTACGCATCGCCCTCTTTTACGCATCGCCCTCTTTTACGCATCGCCCTCTTTTGAGCGAGGGCCAGCCGTTCAAATAAAGAAATAAATACTTAGTACTTATTACGACAATAAATCCATTTTTCAAAGAGTCAGGCTCTTCCTATTTATACGAATTGCCCACTCACAAAATTCATCGGGAGGGAAGGAAAAAGTGGGAAAATAAACTGTGTGATGCTGATGGAAATATTTATTAATTTTAATTGCTAGCTTGAAATGGGCTTGATTTGATAAAAGATAATTAAATAAACATTACACTATAAATATCTCTTTTACCCTGGCAGACAGCTCTAATTCCTCATGCTCTTTCCTCAGAATCTCACAGGAGATAACAGAATCTCCAATATCATTGGAATTGGCTAAATATGACTCTCCTGGCCCAAGGACCCAGTCAGTCACCTGAATGAACATACCAAATTAAAAATCAGTTTAAACAAAGCATTACAATAAATGAAGACCTACGGTCAATTTATGGTTAAAGTAACCTAGAAAAAGAACATGTTTTTGTTGCAAAACTTGCTTTGTAAAGATTAAAGTGACTTAGAAAAGAACTCTAAAAAAAGTCTTGAGGTTTTTTTCTGTTTCACTTCACGACTCTGCTTAACAGCTTTCAGAAAGTTGCAGAGAAACTCAGAATGATTGTAACCATCTACTTCTGCAGAATAATAAACACATACCTCAAACACTCTATAAAAACAGTACAAAATATATATATTGTGTTTATTGAGTTTCCATCTAAAAAATTCATCAAATTTAGACTTTGCATTCTGCCTTCACAAGCCAAATTACCTTATTCCTATGTCATGTTTTGCCTCACAGTGCCTCAATAAATATTTTGTATTGTCACAAGATGATCTTTCTGCCTCAGAAATGATAAACCTCAGAATGCTTTTCATGTGACTGCAAGGTTTTATCACCAATTAAAGTTAAAGATATTTGGCACCCAGAATTTCGAAAATTGTCCATTGTCAGAAAAGCACAGAATTATTTTTATTTGCAATAAAAGTAATGCCGATAACACCTTAGTGAGTGAGTGTCTCATTTTCAGATCAGAGTCCCCCTAAAATCTTGTTTCTGCACTTTGCGTATCCACAAGTTGAATTTTTAACATTGTCACTGACATTTCATACAATATGACAGAAATGAAAAGTATTTTAATGCAAGGAGCAATTGAAAATTTGTTTTAACAGTTATTGAGTAATAATTGTTGGAGGCAATTGTTTTTAGGCCGAAGACACACAAGATACATCATTATCGATTTGGTATTCTACTAGCCAGTGAAATGTCATTGTGCATGGTAAGCCTAAATAAACTGACCTGTCTAAACTGAAAGTCTGCAGTCTCCCTGGGTTACATACACATAATGCCTAACACAGTAGCCTAGGTTGGGCCTCCCATGGCATAGCTCATGGCCATCCTTTCATTTAATTAATGTTTAAACTGTCATCAGTTTACCTTTTGATATCCTGCATCAAACTCCAGTAGATCCATACACTGTATCAACTCTTTCCATCTCTTTTCCCACATGTCCATCAACTGGCTGCATCTCAGGTTTAGTTGAGTCACAATACCTTCCACCTGCTGACGCTCTTGGCTTGGTAAAGAAGCAGGACTGCCAGGGAAATTCTGGCTTGGTGGTATAGGAGGTTCATTAGCTTTAATTGAGCTGATGAGGTGTTCCCCTCTTTGGATAAGAGGATAGGCAACATTATCCAACAGTGCCCTCTTTGTTTCATGTTGACGAATCAGGCCATCTGTATCTGCTATGTTGTTTCCTAGCTGATGGGTGTCTAGGTCTTCTTCCAATTCATCAAATTTTTCATTCAAAGAGACTGACGGATCTGAAAGTTGCTCAATTTCCTGAAATGAAAGCAATATCTAATTCTAAGAAACACGGATGGCATTTTTTCCTTTTGTTCCAACAGCACCCAAGCAAAACACTTTAGAAATAAGAAATTAATTCTTGCCTCAAAGAAACATTAGAACTGGAGCCAACTGATGATACATCAGTGAGAAAATGATAAAAAATTCAAGGCTTAAATACATATCATTCTTCATCTTTGGGCATTCTATCTGATAATTAATAGAAGGAATTTAAACATAAGTCTTCTTTGCAGATTAAGATAAAGTGAACTTGGATCATCAACAGTCAGTTGCAACCTCATCAGGGTCAGCTTTGAGAGGTATTTGCCTAACAATCTTATATCAATATTTATTGTAATGCTTGTTACTAATGCTGTATAATTTGTTGTTAGACTTACCAATCTAGTATCAATCCATCTGTTGTGGTTATATGATAAAGAACCACCCAGCTCTTGGGTGAGTTGACTTCCTTCGGCAAACTGATGAAGTTTACTTGATGATGACAACAATGTCGTCTGTAAAACACAGTTGATAATAAAAGTGAAGCATGTGCATTGTCCTCAAGTAACATGCTAGATTGTGTTGAGTGAGGCCTTAAGATAAAAAATTGTACCACACCATAGCTTCTCTTGCTTGGTGATACTCTGAAGTAACAAAGCTTGAAACATGCATTTAAACTTGACAGAATAAAGTTATTAAAAAACTCAGTCAACATAATATTACAGTTGATAAAATTGAAAAATACTGGAAATCCAAAAGTAGGTCAGCTTGATACAGAAAAAAAAAAGGTTCAAGCCAATTTACCTGAAATGCAACACTAGATTGTTCCTTTCTGAGACCAGTTCCTGAGCGCCGTTTCTCCCAGAAAGCATCAGGCTTAATAATATAGACTTCATGCACCTTTTCTGGAACCGTTTCCTTAAAAAACAACATTAAGGAAAGAACTTTTATTGATATGCATGATCAATAGTGTGCCTGTTTGAAACATGATCAGTATTGTGCTTGTTTGAAACATGATCATTTGGTTATATCAAATAAGTTGAAATTGTACATTGTACATTGGCCATCATAAAGAGTTGAAAAGTTGATGTTTCAAGTGTTAACCCCTTGTCAGAGCAAATGGAGGAATTGCAGGTTGCATGAGGATTTATATGCAGAAAGTGGAGCTACACTATCGGTGGGAACATGGCGACAAGAAAAACACAACTAAATTAGTAGAATGAAAAGTGTTCATTGCTACGTGTGGGGTTAAAGTGCACCTAAACCCCCAACTTTTTTTTTGCTTAACGAAATAAGCATATTTTTTGGAGTATTTCTGTGCAAAATTTTTTTTATTTGCTCAACTCTTCAATTTTCTGTGCCCAGTCAAAACACGGAAAATCGGCCACCATCTTGCCCCATGACCGAGTTTAAAGAGGAATGGCTCTAGTGGGTAATGTGACGTCAAATCGAGAACACGAAAGTCTGCGTTTCACACATTTTCACTTGTTTGGGAAGGTTGTAGTTGATATTGTCCGAAAATATGCTGACTAAGTGTGTTGTAGGAGGATGTAGCAACGTGCAAATTTGCAAGAGGGTATCGTGCTTCATACATTCCTCATACAACACACCTAGTCGGCATATTT